TAAAATCTATGTATAATGCTAACTAACAGGCACTTCAACATGAATATTGTATACTGTACAGTATTACACCGCAGCCTCATAATTTCTGTTCTTTGAACCTGTTAGAAATACTTGACACTGACTGTATTATATTCTCGCAGTGTAAGCTACTCGACATCCCACCTACGGGAACTGCATAGATGCGGATAGCCGACTCCGGTCGTTTATTTCTGGCTGTGTTGACAAGATCACTTTGTGTTGTATTTCTGCGTTTATTGGAAGTATTTCGGGGAAGTTTAGATACAATTCAGTTGCATTTCTGATTCTGAAATTTCCGATCAGAAATACTTGTGTTTTCATTGCTTGGTTTCGGCAATCTTGCTATCGCCATTTTCTCCGACAATTGGCCGCCATCATATTTATGGACTATTCACAATACCGAAGAAGTCACGCGGTGATAGTTGTTTCAAGATAGTCGGAGATCGTGCAAATGCCCTCACGTGTGTTTTGCGTTAAATTAAATACCACATTTCATGTGCTGAATTATCATTGAACATTTTCATCGTCTTCGTGAGATCCAACACGATTTCGTTCAAACTTTTTACGAAAATATCCGAAACAAGATACAGCCAGGAAGAGTAAAGCCGAGGTGTAGGCTTCATCATTCCGTTCCGAATAGCTCTGAGTGTTTGGCCCAACAACCTAGTCCGAAGAGTCTTCAGGTTTCAGCTCAGTCTTCCTCCGCTACCCGTGCAAACCTATCGGCACGAAGTCCAACCGTTATGAGCCCAAGTTCACCTGGCAAAATTGTTTACCTTGTTGTGTCCAACTTGCACTGATGTCCTAGAAAGTGCAAGTCTGAGTGATGAAGACCAGTGGAAAGAACAAAGAACGAAATTACAAAGGGATGTTGCGCGTTTAATTTCTGTAACTCAAATGTTAGCCAAACCACGTGAGGCTGGTAATGTACTTCGCACTGCAAGGTCAACCTCGTCTGACCAGATGTATTATAACCTCGTGATCTTCCACGCGCCAGTCCAGTGATCCTTCATCCCAAGTGCGCTAAAATCACAATGAGTTTTTACACAGTCTAATCGGATGACTCCTCGACGCTGATGAGGACTCGGTAAAAGTGGGGCCAATTACCCGTCTTACGATGCAAGATGATCAACAAAATCGGCCTATGAGAAACACTTTTGTTGACGAAGCTAGTCCAAGACTGATCATGTCCCGCCTAAGTAGGCTGAAAAGTTCGCAGATCCATGTTCGTCCAGACCTGGACCCAGTAGACAGGAAAAGGCTCAAGTCTGCCATCATTGAGCTGAAAAGACGTACTAGTGAGCGAATAAAGCTTCGTATCGCACATTTTAGGGTGGTTTCCAATCATCTGCGAATCAGGATAAACAGGTCGCTGACGCCTTAAGCACTCCGGGTGACTCCTGCTGCGGCCTGCGAGTAGCCTTCACAAAGGTTTGCAGTGTTATGAACAGGTGTGATGAGTTTTGTTGTTTCGTCGCGTCTCAGCGGCCAGACATTGCGAGACTCGCAGAAACATGGCTACATTCAGGGTTATACACACAAGAACTTGAACTCATCGGTCACTCGTGCCTCCGATGTGATAGACTAAAGAATGCCCGCTTTGGTGTATTGCTATACATCCGGTCCTGCCAGCGTGGGAGATTGTGTACACATACCGAAGTGACAATGGTTTGTGCGAGCTACTGTGGTGCTCCATCCTCCTCAGGCGCAGAGAACTACTTGTGAGCGTAGTTTATCGCAGCACTCTGAGTCGTTATTTGGATTGGCTGCCCCATCTTCGAACCCACATGAGTTGTCCACACTTTCTACTTATGGGCGATTTTAACTGTCCCCGAACACGATGGCCTGGTGTGCATTTGATGCCTGGACATAGTGAGGTTGAAGTAAAGTTCGTGGACTTGGTATTTGAAACTGGTGCAGCGCAACACGTATGCCAGCCAACACGCATAACAACACGCTCAAACCCGTCCTATTTCGACCTGATGTTAACGAGCTACGAATAACGAGTGTGTGATATTTGGATCTTGGAGCCCCTGGCTACAAGCGACCAGTCAGTGCTCCTAGCTTATATGGAATTACCTTTGCCGTATTCACGTCCGCTGGAACCAGCTTACAACTAACCGAAAACGGACTTTGATAGTTTAGCTCAAGCCGCGAGCTAACTGGATTGGTCTCGGTCGTAAGCTGCATCTGTGGAAGACTGTTGAATATTTATAAAAAATTATTGACATCATTATGTTCCCCATTTGTGCCACTGAAATAGCCGAAGGTTGGACCGATTAAGCCTCATTAGTTTGACAAGAAATATGGAAATCTGGTTCAGAGGCTACGCAGACTGTGGGACAAATTCCTCCTCTCTGGGTCTGCTAATAATTACGAAGAGTATAAAGATCAGCGGAACTTCTGCAACAATGTAAACAGGAACAAGTGGCGACATTCCGAAGAGCAGCTCGCAGTCGCTGCGAAGACCGCCCCAAAGAGAATCATTGCTTAGGTGAAGCAACGCCTGAAGGAGGCAGGTGATGTGCCAGTGCTGGATGGCCCGGATGTACAGTCCCTAACCTCCAGCACTGAGCGTGCGTCCGCTTTGGCGGTGCACTTCGCTTCGGTATTTGCAAATGACAAGGTGCCTGTTCCGAGTTCGACGTGTACCGCTTGTACCGAACTCTACACTATGGATTGCGGAGTTGAAGAGGTAGCTCAACTACTTGCCAACCTTCACGGCACCAAACTGGCCCGACCTTATGGGCTTCACCCAGTGATTCCTCAAGTCACTTTCGATTATTGTCTCTCCTGCCGTGACTGACCTTACCAACAGGTCACTGTCCGAAGGTTTGTTGCCGGTTGACTGGAAATGTTCGGTAGTGAAGCCTATTCCTAGAGGCCGCGACCCTAACAAGGTAGGCAACCATAGGCCAATTTGTCTGACAACTATTTTGGTAAAGGTTGCTGAGAAAGTCGTGAAAAAGGGATTGTTGCAGTTGCACACAACATAACGGTTTTATGCAAGGCCGCTCATGCACTACAAACTTGCTTGTGATGAGGCATGAGTGGTTGAAGGCAATAAGCAAGGGGAAGTCTGTCGACATGATATTCATCGATTTCAGTAAAACGTTCGACATGGTCAGCCATGAGTCTCTCTCCTTCACAAACTCAGGATGCGTGGTGTCGGTGGCTCACTGCTCCGGTGGATCCACGTCTATCTTGTTGGACAAAAGTGCAGGGTACAGGTCGACGACCATCTAACTGACTGGTACCCCTCTACAAGTGGCGTGCCTCAAGGCACTGTGCTGGGGCCCACTCTGTTCCTGATCCACATCAACCATCTACCGCCGCTTTTCCTGTCGTCGTGTGCATTGTTTCCGGACGACATGGAGTTTTGGAGGGAGATTGACGTTCCCGACGACCGTGGGCTACTTCAGCAAGTCCCCAACCGCCTATCCACATGGTCTGCAGCAGCTCATCACCCGGTCAACCCAGCCAAGTCTTTATTTATGAGCCTGGGGTTGGGTGCTGACGGCCGAACCTACACCTTTGACGGCCAACCGCTGTATCCCACACCCTCCGTAAAGGACTTAGGTGTACTCGCACTACGATATGAAATCCGTGGACAACACGAACAGGCTATCTCGTAACGGACTGCGCATGCTTTGGGCGCTCAAACGTAGCTTCGGCACATGGTCTGAAGAGGTTGCCACTCGCCTCTTCTCTTCTATCATTAGACCAATGCTAGAGTACGGTTCGCCCGGCTACTTTCCGATTACCCGAAACGAGGCACAAAAGAGCGAACGAATCCAACACGTTGCTACCAGGCTCATCCTGTGTTTACGTGGCTTGGGGTATGAAGATTAGTGCGAGAAACTAGGACTTTACACCTTGTCCTACCGTCGGGTGCGAGTCCACCTCATTATGACCTACCGTATTCTACATCTCGGTGATTTCCCTATGCTGAGGCTAATGCTGCACTTACGAGGGCCATGCAGCACACGCGGACACAGATACAAACTTGTCGTGCTGGATATGAAACGTGTTACCCACTCATTATTCTTCGAACGGAGAGTTGTAAATATTCGGAACAGTGCTTACACATGTGATGGAGTCAACATCTGTGCAACAGTTCAAAACGTTGTTAAATTTATCTTTCACCACTATTCGCTTCAGAGAACGATTGCACCCTTTCGATGACATGTCACATTTCTGAGTCTTGCAATACCGTGAGTCAGATATTTTAAATGCCACACGAGAACCATAACGATATTCACGGCTGACAATTTTTATAACGTTTTTCACCACATTTCGGAAGATTTGTACACAAATAATTTCTACTTGCTCTATAATACAGTATTTATTTACTTATAGAAAGCTATATGATTTCATGCACCTAAAACATGTAAATGTACAGGATTTCGAAGGGTGCTAACAAGACGCTATGACTAAAGTGTCCCTATATATATTTTCTGACAAACTGAACCTGTTTTGCATGCAGTTGTTTGAGCATAATAACCTACGTACCCTTCATTCCTTACGTGCGTATTTCACCCTACATGATTGGCAAAAAGTGAACATTTTTGAAATTTAATTGTATTGAACACTGTGCAAACCGACGTCTACCAACGTATTTCTTAAAACGTTTCAATGGAAATGTTTCTACCAAATTTCAACTGCTTCTGCACATTTCAGCTTACGGAATTTTACGTCTTTTTGTATGTGTAAGTTGTCAGATGATATGCAAGCATTAACCTGCTGGGTTGGATGGTTTTATGCCTAGAATTATTCATACTTATTACTAAAACACGTGTATAAAACTAAAATAAGATACGTTTTTTACGTTCAATATTGTAGACTACGGTTTAGTCGAATACTTGTATCCTATGCATATCACAGTATGACCCGCGTCTCAAAACGAAAGTAAATTGCGACAAATTGAATACAATTCATTAACTTATGGGACACCATTTTTTGTAAAATTGGTTTGTACCTACCATCGCATAAACCGGGACTTATTAACACGTTTCCACTCAGTAGCAAGATTGCATACAGCAGAGGTACAATGCATCTCATGTTGCCCGCTGTTGATAGCGTTGTAGACCTACATAAAGCCAAATTGTAAATGTTGAGAAGCTACCTTCCTAAGACAAACCAGTCCTGTTGAATTTACTTGGTAGCCTATTGGTTGTAAGCTAGAATTGCGAAATAGCCGGGCCAATCGTAGCAAGTGAAAAGCCAGATAAGTACAACAGTAACAGCCTAAGCTTTCACCTACAAATGCTTGTCTATTGGGGCGCAGTGGTTAGACAGTGAGTATTTGCATAAATGTCAGGCCAGTCAAGTTAAATCAAAGTCTATTCAAAATAAGTGTTATCCTCCCATATGGGTGCATTTTCAGCTTTTTCACACCAACGCTGAAGAATACAATACAACAAGCCATCAATGAGAAAATAACACTTGATATCAGTAAAACAAAAGATGCAACTGCAATCAAGCATATGATCACGAAAGTAGCGCTTTATTCCTGGTGGGTCAATAATGTGTGCCAGGTAAAGCAGTATAGAGTTTCTATACTACGAAATACCAGAACAGTAAACTTTAAAGTTAGGCTGCGTGAAAGATGTAGGTTTAAGGTTTACTATAATTCTACTTAAAGTGTGTAAAGGGTCGTTTAAAATCATGGATGAAATGTTGTTGCATGCACAAATATATTTCGTAAAAACAAAATCAATAAGTTGTTCCTTCCTTAGTTCAGAGCAGTAAGGAAATAATGTTTAGCGAACGGACATGACAAACATTATCGTTTTGAAGACCTCCGTGGAAAATAACAGGAATGCAGTTTAACCGGCGTGGGGTAATACATGCATTTGCAAAACTTATAAATGAAACACGGGAAAAGAAGATCTAGAGTGACAAGCACATAGCGACAAAATTCATGGGGCTCAATCTCAAGACAAATGCGGAAGTTAAATGTTAAGTATAAAGGCTTTCGCAAATATGTAAAGAAATCGTAAAATCTGGTTAATCGGTGTTCACTTGTAACACACCTTGCCATACGTGGTTATGTAGTTGGTGCATAAAGTGGCTCATGATAATCTAAATAGGAGTGCTCAATAAATTCTACGTTAGTTGGCATAAAGAGAAACTAGACCAAACAATATAGATGATATTCGCTGCACCCAGTATTATAATCCAGATGTTCGTTAGCCGTTTGCCGAAATAATGTGTCTTAGAAACACACAAACAGCCCGAGAGCATAATCCGGCTAAATTCGATAACATTTGGGATTATGGTTGCCGGCATCCGTATCCGTTTTGCCTGTCACCGTGGTCGCCATAGGACAACCACAGGAAGTTTATGCCCACAGAGGGACCAAGAATGGCTTACGCTGCACCACTCACAGCTTTATCCACACACTCCATCTACAGTATAAACCCGAGGGAATAAGACCGGGAGGTCCGTGGATGAGAGCCAAGTTTGATCCACGGAGCCGGCCCACACACGTTCACAGGCAAACACAAGCACTCTGTAGTCGAGAAATCAAACGCACACAACGTAGTGACTGAACCGTAGTCCGCTTCACACTGAGCGCATGAAACCATTCTTCAAGCCTAGCACTGCCAAAATGAATGTGCACCCCGTACCCTCCAGCAACGACCAACTATCTTCTCGAGCCAAGGTAGACGAGGCGGTGGGTAATAGACAGACAGGCACTATGTCAACATGCACATCAAGCGCAGCCAAACCGGGGATATCAACCAACAGCCAATCACTTAAAACGATGACACCAAAAAAGATGAATCGAATAATGCAAACATATTGTAAAATAACGCTTCAATAAAGGAGCATATAAAATAAATTGCTAGCCAGCGAATTCGCGAAGGATTCAAGACATAAACAAAGTATACTTTAAGAAAATGCCACCAACTGGAAAATGTTATCGAAGTTAACCACAGTCAGCTTAAGTGAAATGAGCAAGTTAATGGAAGATCATTCAAGAAACATTAATGCATAAAATAGTACAAGAACAATATAGCAAAGCCACCAGTTGAAATAAAGGGACCCAGCATGTAAGAAAACGGTTACTAAGTTGAACGAAACGTAGCTACAAACACGGCACCGGTTCTGCCTGCGTTCTCAGCAGTAACCGTCGTCCTTTTGGTGTTGGCCCCAAATGGCCTCGATCATGACTCATTAGGCCTGCCTGACTCAACCGCTCGCGACCGCATGTGCTACAGCACCGTGGGGTCGATATAGATTGAGTACAATGCATCTGCGCCTGTTGCTTCCGCTTTTATCGCTTTTTCTCCGCATGCATGAGGGCTTTCTACTGCACCTCGGCAACTGCCTTAATGATCATATCGCGCCATTCACGTCGAATAATCGGCTTCTTCTCCTAACGTCTTAAATCAAACTAAAAACGTAGTGAAGATTCGGTTTCCCCACATGCCGCTACCCTGTTGGGTAGTTTATTCGCCGAAAAAGGCTAGCGAATCAGATTGATCAATGTGCAAGCGTCATTGAGCTTTGCAAGTAAAACTAAAACGAAGTGTAATCTGGCATCAAATGAGTGGCTGTGATGCCGCAAAGAAGATGCCTCAGCCGAGAGAAGTGTCTTCCGTAAAATCCCGTGGGAAGGCAAAACAAATTACTAAGAATGGTACCATAGAAGCATAAAAATTCAGAATGCTGCAAAGTATAAAACTGAAAATATTGACGACCTCGAGTACGTAGTGCAGATCGGATGACACATCAAGTATAATAAAAAGCACGCCATAATATGCAAGTAAATCAGTGCTCCCACTATCGCATCAAACAGTAATCTTCCTTACAGCTCCATTTGAGGTGTTCATGGGAAAACATTCGACAGCAAGGATTAAGAAATTCAGAGTAGCCAACACCAAAATATTTAAAAACCATAACAATTATCCAATTATTTCAACATTAATGCAACCTCTTTAGTCAGTTACCAGATTTCGTCCGCAATGCAAAAATTTAATCCAATACCATCTAAAACTTACTTCACATCGCACTGACTAGTCAGCCGTGGACCTGACTCGAGAAGTGTTCTAATTTCGGGCCGTCTTGCATGAGTAACGTTACCTACTTGGGCATACGTGTGGGTTATCTGAGTGTTGCCAACGTTTCTGCGCCGCGACACCATACGGATGTCAATCAGCCGATGCGCCACAGACACCAACGCGTGAGAACTGCGTCATTACGCCCAATGGCATTGGCGAGACAACGTGTTAGCCAGCGCGCCAAACGGCACACATCACATGCGTCATGCGTACGGGGCGGAAGTTTAGTTCCAAGACGTCAAGGTGATTTCACGCGACTGGTTTTTAAGTAGTACCATCCATATGGTTCCGATAGACCGTCACTGGTTAGCGGAGTTTTCCCTTCCGGTTCCCCAGTTTGGTTGCACGGAAACCGCACGCAGCGGGCAAGACTTTAAGAAAAACCTCATCATATTTCACCTATCAGATTTGTCTGTAATTTGATTTAGATGATTGTTTAAACTTTAGATTACACTACGCGCGATGGGAGGAAGAGGTACGTACGCCCGTCCTGAAGATATATGAAGAGGACAACAAATGGAAGAGAATTGCATCTCGGTTATTGGTAAATGTAAATACCTGTAGAAGCTGGATTAGAATATTAGAATTGAATGAGCCGACAAGAGATCGTAGCTTGTTACGTCGAAGTCGTCTGTCAGATAGTTATGTGGATTACCTGGTGGGATAGGTGGGATCGGTCCCTACGCTTACCTTGGAAACTCTCCGGTTATGACTGAAGGTGGCGTTCGAGGTGGACGTGAGAGTCAGCACAATCGATCACTACCTAGACGGTCTGCTCATGACAATGAAGGAATTACACTCAATACCAGAATCTATGAATACGATGGAGAGCAAGGGGCTAAGGAATACGTAAGTGTTGAAGTTGATAGACTTGGAGGCATAAGGACGGCAAGCAGTATGAATAGTTGCGACAAATTTTAATCAGTTCTGTGTTCACACAAAGAAACGTTCAGCACGTGGCACCCACACCGAATACTCGGGGACAAAATCTGCACCTAATCAACACAATGAACGAGGGTGGATGGCTCAGATATTCTGTCCCAAGAGGTCGTTAAAAGAAATAAAGATTTTCTCGGTGGTTACGGCTACTGTGTGATACCAATAACATTCATTTTGCTTAAAGCTGTCTCCTTATTTGTGATAACGCACCATTTCACACCAATCTGGGGTTTATCTTCCAAGAGGAGCATTACAAGTCAAGGAGAATGCTGTGACTGGCACCGAAGATATTTGTACTATCACAAAGAACTACGTTAAACAAACTATGAGACGGTGATATTCCGAAATGCTCCAAAGGGATCCGGATGGCGTACTGAGCAAGAATAAATGGAGGATGAAGTTTTTGCAGCGGGTTGTAGTGGAAGCACGTACCTGCGTGGCACTTTGCCACTGTCAACTAATGATGCGGCATGTACGAAATAACTATACACGTGCTTTGCATCTACTCGATCTGTAAGCCGTTCAACACCACTGATATATTTCTTGTTAAAGTTCACTGATGATTTTCTTTAAAAGCAATGTATTGCCATGCCGGGTAGGACACACCGAGACATTCAGTTGGAATTGCATCTGGCTTTGCGAAGGTTCAATCGGAGATAGTGATAGTTACTGCAAATTAATAGTAAAGGGGTTCTCGCTACAGCGCTAGATCACGTGTTATTAACCAGTCGTTATGTAGTAAATTAAGAGTTACCGATGGTGCGAAGACTTGTCAAATGCCGTTCCACCTACCTGGGGCATAATTGTACACGTTTATGGTCGTGTAACGCAGATACTGGTTACCAAAGACGTTGGTGATTTGCTGTATGATCAATGCATACAACCCGACCGAGAGTCCGTCCATTAAAGGGGGCTACGGTCAAAGTTCATATGATGCTGGCTGGCACTTCGTCTAGAATAATATGGTACCAGCCTCACTAAGGCATGAGGAGACTGGCTACAAACTCGGTCTGTTTACACAAAGTTGGTTTCAATCGCCTAATTGCCG